TGCGCCGGTTTTTTGCTATCTTTGGTTGCCTACTTGGATAAAAGAGCGAAATAAAATTGGAATGTCGAAGCAAATTCAAGCAGAAGATGGGGAATTCATAAAGAGTGGTGTTAGGAAAATAACGAGTGGATGCACGAGCGCCACTGTTTGCGACACCCAGCCATATCACTCACTGTAGCTAACCATCGGCGACCATCATCCCGAGGTCCCCAGCCGGGGAGCCTAATGCGGCCTATGTGACCTAGTCTCCTGGTTAGGGTTTTCATACCTGGTGACCAATGATCTAGTTAGTTCGTTGTAAACCCTTACACGACCGGAGGTCTGTGAGTACAGTGACCTCAGTAGGTTAACGTACTTCTGGGGCATTCCTTTTCGAAGAAGGGAGCCCATCAGAGCTTCGCGGTCGACTGAGTCGAAGGCTCCTTTCAGGTCAAGGAATACTGCGATCATTGGCCGACGGTGGGTGTGACGAAGCTCAAGGACCTGACACAACGTAAGAATTTGATCAATGCATCCACGGCCAGACCGAAATCCGCCTCGATGTTCACGGATGTTGGCATCCCTTAAAGGAGTCAGACGTCGAAGTATAACCAAAGCTAGCACTTTGGTGACGATTGGGATCAAACTTATCCCGCGGTGGTTTTCGCAATCGTTGCGAGATCCTTTCTTGAAAATGGGAACGATCAGTGACTCGCCCCAAGATGAAGAAATGTGCTCTTGCGTCCAAATGTTGCACTGCAGGGTAGTACTACAGCTTACGAGGTTCTCACTCCCTATCTTGAAAAGAGTGTGAGGGAGCTCGTCCGGTCCTGCTGCCTTTCCTCATTTCAGAGCTTGAATGCTAGACTGAACTTCTGCTTCCGCTGGAGGATCGCACGACACTGCTCAAAGCTTCAGTTGCAGCTGAAGCAGCCTGGTTAGCACTAGGCCAGCTGAACTGTTTGCTGAAGTATTCCGCCCAGCGATCAAGTCGTTCATCCCTATTGTGAATGGCTTGTTTCATCTTATCGCAGACTCCCGTATTGCGTATCAGTCGGAACAGCCTTTGACTATTCCTTGATGCAGCTGTTACTTCCATTTCACTAGCTATTGTTGCTCACCAGTTCTCACGGTCCTTCTTGAGGCTCTTCGTGAGCTGGCGTTGTAGATGCCACCTAACTCTATTTTGATTCTGGCAGGTCGGGACTTNCTCCATCAAGGCAACTGACTCCTGAGATATCCAATGCTTCCGAGGGGTTTGAGGCTGAGACCCACGAGCAACATTTGCTGCGGAATGCATTGCTCGTCTAATCTGATCCTACTACTCATCTACATCACCATGTTGAAGTGCGCTTAGCTCACGCACTAGCTCTGATTCATAGCGCACACGAACTGCTGGAACAGATAGTTGATGATGAGCTGTACGAGTTTGCTGAATTCGTCGCCGGCCAGTCAATCGAAGAGTGAAACTAATGCACGGTGAGACTCAACGCAGGTAGTCCAGTAGGACCTGCAATTTTGCACTGAGCCACGCCAACGGTAACTTACTGCTATGTGGTCGATTTGAGTTAGCGTACCAGTTGAACTGGAGTGCCACGTTGCCGTCCGTCGAAAGCTGTGTCGGAAGTTGGTGCTTGCTAGGAACAGATGATGGTCTGTGCAGAACTGGAGAATTTGATCGCTGTTATCTGTTCGTTGACAAGAAAGAGCAGAACTTCCGCCTAGACAAGCTTCTGATGTGTTCAGTTCTCCGACTTGCAAGTACAACTATGTCGGAGCTTCGACTCATTCGAATAAGATCGTTGAGTTTCATTGTAGAAAGCGTCGTTTTGTGTATCAGAACTGCAGTTGGTCGTTGTATAAGCTGATACGACAAACAAACACCTTTTGGTGTTGCTTCCCTTCCGAACGCTGAGTGAACCCTGGAGGTGCACTGCACATGAACGACTATTGACGGAGATCCAATGGATAAGAGGACTCGGCCCTGTTACTGAGTACAATGCTTAGCCCGCGCTGACCTACTGGACGAGTTTCATCGTCGCCTGATGTGCGAAGGACGTATCTCGAAGACAAATCTGACGCGCTCAAGTGGCTTATAGCAGTAGGATCCTGGACTCGAGTTTCCGACACGCAGAAAATATCGATTCCTATGGATCTCATTGTACGCGTCAGACAAGCTTGCTGACCTACCTGCGTAAGAGTCCTCAAGTTAAAGGCCCCCAGATTCAGTGAATGACGAGGCTTTAGAATCTGCAATCTTCGTGGTACAATACTTACAGTGCAATTCGGCAACGGCCTTTTACGAGCGACATCCAAGTTGCCTGGGGGACTATTAGAGGTTGGAAGGAAGGGAGGATGGAGAGTGCTGGGTACTGAAGACAAAGAATTAAACAAAGGTTGGGATATCTGAGGATTAGCCCACTTATCACAACCCACCCCGCTCGATGCAATAGGCAGAGCGGTCCTGATTATCCTGCGCGATGACCGATGCAGTATAAAATTACTTTTTGTTTGTGTATGCTTTAAGGTTTGGTGGACGGGTACTGC